TTCAAAAATTATTTTTCAACATAATTTCAAAAACTCTTTTTTCAAGTTTCAATCAAATTTATATCCAAACGCTAGCTAAAACTCTTTTACAACAACAATCACAAATCCAGTGAAAATTCGACAAGTGGAATCATACCATTTACCCCTACCTTTGTGAGGGTAGACAAATTATTTTCAATAGACACTCAGTACAATAAAAAAAGAGAAAGAAGCAATAACAGTAAGCAATACTAACAACACGATACTAGATAAACCAAAGCGAAAGAGATAGGAGTAAGAATCGGAACAACATGTAGTAAAAGAAAACTAGCCTAAGGGAATACAAGAGTAATACGAAAATTAATGGTATAGAAAAGAAAAAACGCTCAACCATCTGTTAATTTTTTACCCTAATCATCGAGCTTCACACCCTCCCTATCAAGAGTCATATCCTCTCATATGACGTTGTTCGATTAAATACGGAATTTTAAAAAATTGAAATTTCTAATTTTAATATGTCATGACAAATCTGTAACTATAAGAGGATACTATCAATTAAGAGTAATCACATGCACACTTCCACATCTGTGTTCTTGATGCCCATGTTTTCTTTTTCTTTTTTCTTTTTTGGTTTCTAGGAAGTATTAATCTAAGTAGATGTGAAAAGATTCGATTAGATAAGTTGGTAAATTAATTTCAAATCTGCACAAATCTATGCATAAAGTGTTAAAATAAATAAATGCACGTGACATGATCCCTATCTCCTTAGTTTGACACTATAAGTTCAGTTAATATCAAATCTCAATGCACTGTTTAAATTATTAAGAATTTTATACTCTATCCTAATAAAAATTAATTTCTTGATTCTTTTTCCAGATGGTCAGCAATAGCATCAAGATTACAAGGAAGAACAGACAATGAAATTAAAAATATTTGGCACACCCACTTGAAGAAAAGACTAAAAAATTATCAACCTCCTCGTAACTCCAAAAGATACTACAATAACGTCAATTCAAATTCCTGCACTTCTATCCAACAAGAAATAAATAGTTTTGGTCATCCTCCTAACTCGCCACAAATATCGACTAGCGAAGTGTCAACCGTGACAGCTGATTCATCGTCAATCATCACACCCGCGACAACCGACGATCAAAAAGCAATTAAATTGGAAGAAATTATAGACTCATCAGAGTATTTTACCGAGATGCATGAAAGTTTATGGACAAATGAATTAGCAATTGACGACAACTCCAATTTTGTTACTGTGGCTGGTGAAGAATTTCAAAGTTTGGACATGTTTAATACAACAATGGAGGATGATATGGACTTTTTGTTCAACTTTTTCATAAGGACTGAGGATTTGCAAGAATTACCAGAACTTTGAGGGGTCGATTTGGGTTTTTATCATTAATTTGAGATAGTGGTTTTCTAGCTAAAGGGTGGCGATTTTGGGAGACGGCAAGTTTGAAATTACATGTTTTTTTCTTAACCATTAAATATGGAGAAGACCACCAAAAATCTAAAGTTAGTGCTTTTCAGCTAGGATATTTTTTTTTTTTGTTCTCTTTTTGTCATAATAGGATATTCTTTTATTCTTTTGTTACTAGTACTTTATTTTTAGTTTTGAACTTTTTTGTCTTTAGTCTTAGCATGGAGTATAAAGTTGATAGTGATGGAAAAAAAAAGTGAAAAGAAATACTAATTTGACTATAAACTCAATTGTTATGGAATATTAACGTTGTAACTTGTAACTATCCATAATTCTTTTGGGTTATTGTTGCTCCCAAACGCACACGCAAATATACGTGGTTGACAATTACTATATGATTGTAAGTTCAGATATCGCACTCACATGGACTTGTGATTAATTATTTACTAAATTAAACTAAGATAATTAATCTACTCAAGCGAT